TCCACAACACTTTAGAAGCTCTTGGCTAATAAGCCTCATCAGCTAGCTCTTGGTTAATTGTTTCCATCAGTTATTACATTTAAAAAATTCAACTGTTTAGATCCAAACCAGTTCATGCCAGTTCAACTCAATGTAATTATACAGTATAATTAAATCTAAGCCAAAGAAAACTTGAGTGCTAAAAGATAGACTTATTTCTATGAAACAAAGCTGGATGTTTTAAAAGGACTCCATAAAAGTATTAAATAATTAACTCTGAAAAACTGCTATCATATTAATTTTGGGGACTTAATTAAAAATATTCTGAGGAAAACAATAAAAATTTAAAAGACTTATGCACTGAAGCTGCTATAACAGGGTCTTTTAACATGGAGTAGGGTCCTGATAAAGTAGTGTCCTGTTAAAGAAACCAAAACTAAAAAATCGTTTATTTAATATGACAAGGCATTTCAATGGGGGGATTCCTGTCAAAGAAAAGGCCTCTCCTATATCAACATGTACATTTATAAATTTTAAGTTTAATGAAAGGAGTCACTGATTTTTTTTTAAATTATGACAGTGGATCTCAACTATATACAAAATAAAGACCAAGCTCCTTAGTTTAGCATTCAAGGCACCAACCTACCTTTCTAGCTCTTACCTTTCAAAAACGACCTTTCCAAAATATATACTTCATTAAAACCTGATTATTATCTATTTCCCATACATATCTGTAATTTTTAGACTCCAAAGTTTCAAAGACCTACATCTTAAAGGATGAGCAGAAATTGCCTTAAGAATGAGAGAAGATACATGGTGCCCATCTACTTTTCTAGGGAAAATGCAGAAAAAAAGTGGTGACGTTGTTGTTGGAGGCAGAAGGCAGATAATGAGTTAGTTCAGTTTTGAGTTTTATTAATTGTAGAACATAAAGTATATGTGACCTGAAGATCATTGCAAATACAGTCTTCAGTCTGGAAGTGAAACCTCAGGGTATGTTCCATGAAATCTGGGACCTTGCCAGTCTTGTTCAGAATTGTATCCTCCAGTACTAGTACAAAGTACTCAAATACATGTTTTACTAACATGTTATTTAGCATATATGTTGATAGTCAAAGCTGAGTGTGGATGAGACTGCCCACAGAAGACATTTAACCTTTTTTAGATCTCTTCAAAGCTAAAGAGATCTTTGAACTATCTTTTCCAAAAAATATACAAATTTTTAAAAGTACAATCAATTTTGCACATTATTTCATGGAGTTCCCAGACCACATAACAGTTACACCTGCATCAATCATAAGTCTACTCGTAGGAGGGCTACGGAAAGAACCACTGAAGACACCAAGAACATAAGGAGCAAATGGATGTAGAGGATTCAGCAAAGGGAAGGTATGAAAAGCAAAAAGAGAACCTCAAAGAATGTTATTAAGAAATCCAAGAAAAAATATTTCACAGAGGGAGTGATCTACAATAGCAAAGGTAGTATAGATACACAAAACACGACAGAGTTGGCATTCAGACTCCCTAGAGACCTTAGAGGAGTGGTAGGGCATGGAAACCAAATTGTGGTTGCTTAAAGGACTGCATAAAAAGAAAGGAAGTAGGGGCAGTGAACATAACTAAAATTCTCTCAAATATTTCTCATAAATATTTTTCAACAAATACTCATTCAGTACCTACTATATGCCAGGGATTATGTAAGACATCCTATCCATGTTCTGCCCAAATAGCATATTCTCAAGAAACTTGACTATATTCTCCCTACAACTCTAAATTCTCTTTCCCACCTTCAAACTCCTATGTAATTTCCCTATAGAATAAGCACCAATAACTTTCAACTGGGCAAATAAACCACATATTCTACTTTTTTTATAGAGCCTAGCAAAGATTTGTATAGGTCTTTTATAAACAGGTGATAAATTTTTCTATCACAAGAATTACAGTGCTCTTCTAAGTCATGATACTATTTGGTAGAATTCCTAAGGACACAGCTCTGGCAGACCTCCCACCCTGAAAAAAATCTAAACAAAACACTATCCCTGAGAATCCTCTCATCTCCTACATCCTAAAAATCTGTTACCGTAAGTCTCTGAAATAAAAATCTAGAATACGCTTTTCTTAAAAATACCTTAAAATATAATTTTAATTATGGAAAAGTCTAAACCTTCATTTTACTAACAAGCAAACTGTATCCTATTAGTTGAGTTGCCTAATTTCATCAGAGACACTAAAGAAATAATTCCAAGACTAGAAAAATGATTTATAGTTATAATCTTTTGACAATTTATTAGTGTTTATTATTAAGCCCATTGGCAATTAATTTAGTCAACAAATAATTACCAGGTTCCAGTGATGTGACACTGAACAAAATAAGTCTGGTCCTTTCCATTCTAGAAAAGACAAAATTTTAAAACTTAACACTACTGGGCAAGTGTTTCAATAGTATTTCATAACTGAAAGACCAAGGGTAGGTTTTGTTGCTTGTTTTATTTTCTTGTTTGGGTTTTTCCTTTTTTCCTATTTCCTTTTTTAAATTTTGATAGAAATATGGGGAAGGTAGGGGGGCAGAGTAGAGTGGTCCAGGAAGGCTATCTGCAGTACATGACCTTTGAGAGGAGTTCTGAGAAATGCTAAAATTTAATGGGGGAGAAATGCAATGCAAGGAGGGAAGAACACTCCTAGTAAAAGGAATAGCATGTGTCCAGCCCTAAACAAGAAGCAAGGCAATTTAGAGAATTCAACAAAGGCCAGCACAGCTAGCTCACAAAGTGAGCATGAGAATGGCTCAAGATAAAGCTGGAGACATGGGCAAGAGAAAAAACATACAGGGGAGGGACATAATCTTGTGAGTATTAACTAATAATAACATATCCTTTTATACAGTACTTAGTTTACAAAGTACTTTTAACATGTTTTCTATTTTGTTCCTCAATAAACTTGTGAAGTAGTTATTATTTATTATTACAAATCTAATCACATCACTAGAATACCCATAGGGCAAGGTTCAAGTTACATAAATTATCCTGTCTGTGAATAGTTACACACCTACTTGTCCTTCAAGATGCTACTATCATCTAGGAAAGCTATACTGAACATACCTTCATAATAGCGCTTCCTAAAAATTATGAAATATTTAAAACTTTTTTAAAAAGCATTAAAAATAACAGCCACACAACTACTATCCAGCTTAAGGAATACACCCTAACGCAAGCCTTTTAAATCTATTATGTTTATAGGATTATCTTCTGCATTAAACCGTGAACTTGCAAGTATGGACTGTGTGTTACTTGCTATATGCAAGATCTTGCACTAAGCACTTAACACTTTTGTTTAGTGTAATGGATTCCCCCAATACAGGTAGAAATACTGAAGTTCATAATGTGCTAAAGGCCAAAAAGCCAATAAATCGTTGAACTCAGTTCAAGTATAAAGGAATTCTGCTGTTCCCCTTACAAGTATGCCACTCTACAATACTTCAGAAATATATTCACCATCAAACAGTAAATATAATTTTCAGTCCCCATTTTATCAGGTCATTATTTAGACATAACACAAAGGCATTCATTGAACAAATTAGCTACTAAAGTCTACTGCAATCTACTAAATGTTGAGAGTATGAATTTCAATTACACGAATTCCATGCCTTAAAGAAACCCAAGTTTCTTCTCTTAAGCATGCCTCCCACTCAAGTTTTTGAAAAGGGAAAAAAACTCTTACAGAATTGGTCCAAGGTTTGGCTGCTTCAGATTTAAAGAACACACTCCACTCTACATCAACCAACGATGGGGAGAGAAGTCCATACATCACACATAAGAACATGCCCCAGAGTTAACCAGTTATTTTACGCCTCAGAAAAGGAATTACTAGTAGTGAGTAAGAAGGAAGTTCTGGGCATGGGGCGGTCTCAGCACTTTGGAAGGCCAAGGTCAGAGAGTAGCTTGAGGCCTAGAATTCGAACCAGCCTGAGCAACATACCCAGACATGTTCCTACCAAAAAAAAAAAAAATTCTTTTAGCTAGCCAGGTATAGTAGTAATCTCTGCTACTAGGGAGGCTGAGGCAGGTGGATCGCTTGAGCCCAGGAGTTCAAAGCTTCAGTGAACTAAAATCGAGCGGTGGCACGCCAACTTGGGCGACAGAGGGAGACCCTATTTCTAAAAAACAAAAATTAGGAAGTTGTGTTGTACGTTTAAATGTGTTTTGAGAAGGAGTGGGACAGAGAAAAGTCAAAAAACGGAGAAACTGGAAACCCGGTTTTTATGAAAGAACAAAATGTAAAGTGATATGTAAGAGAAGCAGATTTGTTCATGGCTCTTCTACACAGCTTTTCTGCCCGGGGCTGTAACCCTTACATAGCACTTAGCATAAGGCCTTACAGGCCCTGTATTACTTGGCTCCAAAGAAGCTCCAGCAACCACCTATCCCGCCTCCTCTACGCCTCCCAGCAAAAACAGGAAGACTGTGACAGCCCAGTCTCATAAATGGAAGCTGCCCTGGGCGGCTGGATTAGCGTGCAAGTAGGTGGGTCAGTCTATCAGAGAGCAGATGCCGTGGAAAAGCCGCAGAGTTCGTGGCCGGGCCAAGGAGGGGGTCAGCCTCAACCTCCACCTGAGCTTGACCTGTCCAGCGAGAGCTCCGGTGCCGAAGAGAGACTGGAGAATTCAGCTCTCTGAGGGCAGCGGGTATTCCTGAACCGTTTCCCAGGGCTTTTGGTATTCCCGCACCCGCCCCACCCGAAGTTACCTTCCCAAGTGACATCGTAAAGCTCTGAAACCTTCGCCATCTTCCCAGAACCCAGAGGCAGCAGGGTGAGAGGGCGGGGATACGCGGTCACGTGACTCGCGACCGGGCCGTGGCGAATTACGAAGCTCTTTTTCATTGGCCAAGAGAGCAGAGGGGGCGGTATCCGCCACACACGTGCACTGGGCTCTGCGGAGGGGCTTTCGGGGAAGGGGGCGGAGCTCGCTGGGCTATGCGGGCAAGCTCGGAAGCTGAGGACGCTCCAGCGGTCGGCGGGGCGCCGGAGCTGCCTTGGGGTGAGGTGTGTTTTATACCATAGATTTTTAACAATTGCTGGGTTTTTAATTTTTTTCTACATACGTGTATTCATTCTCTTCACATTCCCCATTCAGCACCCTGTTCTCTTCGTGGCCTACCTCAGCGCAACGTTCTTCCCAAATCCCTTATTTATGCCCAACTTTACTTCTAAAGGGATTTGCTTTCCATTTACGTTTGAATGTTTGACTGAACTAATAAACTCCAAAAATTTTTATTATATCTCTTTGAGGGACTAAGTGGGATTCTCCCTGTGCGCTTTTTATGTTCCTGTGGCCGAGGACTTCTCAGTGTGCACAAGAATGCCCTCATGCCCACCCATACCCTTAGTTAACCATTCTGCGTGTAATCACTTTATCCCTGTCTGCCTGCCACACTAGTTTTGAAACTTCCTGAGAACAGTCAATGTGTAAGCGCTCATAAGCAATGAATAAATGTGCGGATCAGACTCTCACAGCCCCTAAACTTCGCTACTCCCGTTTACTCCTGAGTGAGTGGGGTACCTTCTTCACCACCCTGTCCAGCTTTAATTGAGTTTTAATTGATAAATTGTATATTCATAACCTTATGTATTTAAGGTATTCAAAGTGATGATTTGATATACATTGCGAAATGATTACCACAATCAAGCTAATTAACACGTACATTTCTTCATATAGTTACCATTTGTGTGGGTTACAGGTAGTAGAAACATGTAAGGTCTCTCTTAGCAAATTTCAAGTATACAATACAGAATTGTTAACTATAGTCCATGCTGAACATTAGATCTTAAGAACGTATTCATCTTAAAACCAAAAGTTTGTACCATTTGACCAATATCTCCTCATTCCCACCTCCTAGTCCCTGGCAACCACAGCTTGTTTTATTGTCTTAAAAAAACAAAAACAAAAAAAACTATCAATGCTGAGTGCCACAAAGAAGTCAACTAATGACAAAAAAACTAGTGAATTTGTACACTTGGACTATGTTCTGAATGAGTTACATTTTGCATTGTCACACAATATGCACAGATATATTTAAAACTGAAAATTTACAAACTAGTTTTACCATGTGTTTTGTCATCTATATTTTCTATTCAAATTTTGTCAAATCCATTTTATTTACTAAAAATACTGTTGTGATGTACTAATGGAGTCATGATGTTCCAGTGGACATGTATGTATTTCCTAATCTGAGGCCCTGAAGTGAAACAATTTGCCCAAGTTCTTGGCACTAGTAACAAAGATAGGTGATTCATATAGAGATAAATTGTTTAGATCGCAGATGAAAGATTAAATATTTATGAGAAAAATATATTTAAGGGAAACTTTGTTATTAGTAGTACTCTTCGAAGTGGGGAAAGTGTTTATAGATTATAACATTTCAAATATCTAATAAAATTTGCCTTCCTCAGGCACACTCAGGAAAAAATGGCATGCCAATGGCAAAAATTCCATATTCTGTTTTAACATAGTATACTATATAATTAGAACTGTAAATTAAAAATATCTTCTGTAGATAAAACTGTAATCCCCAAAACATAAATATCAACTTTACCTTCTGTAACTCTACCTTTTACAAGATGGTCTCAAGGTTTTGCCTCTTACTGTGTTGTTCACTTGAAAAATTCTCCTCTACATACGTTTAAAATATTTAACCCAGTTTTTCTGATTGCATACTGCCCAGTATTGGTGACAAATACCAAGAAAATGTCCAGGGAAACAAATATTAGTACCCACATTATGAATAAAATGTGTCAGACACCATAGGAAGTATTATCTCATTTAATAATCTGAACTACCCAGTGAAAAAGGCACATGAATGTGGTCCTTGATATGACTTTTTATGTGAAGCTAAATTGTTATTTTGGTTTTTTCCCTGTAAGATTTTTTTTGAACAGTTAGAATGTTAATAAGTCAGAATGAACTAGAGTCAGACAGGAATCACTTTGAATAAGCCTACATTTTCTTTGAGGTGGGATAAAGTTCGATTATTTATCAAGCCATATTGGCCTACAGAGCACTTTAGAGTACATCTCTTTTATGGTTTACTTAATCCAATTAATATTCTCAAACAGTATGAAAGACTAAAGCAACTTCTTAAATTTAATAAACTTTATGGCATTTATAAAATATACATTAACAGGATAGAGCATAATACCATTTTAATTGATTTTGCAATATTCAGCATCTTCATCAAATATTTTACTTGGAATCTACTGTCTGCTTTGTCCCATCTTAATCAGTGAATTAAAATATCCCACACTATTTAGCAGAGCTTATAATTCCCATTTACTATGACAATTTTCCATCAAAGTAAATTGGTCTCACTACAACTCTGATATAAAATTTACCATAGCTTTTAAATCATGTTATTGTTTCTAATTAGTGGATCATAACCATAATTTCTTTTTATTTAAGGGAAAATATTAATCTTCATTCCATGTCAGTAGATTTTCACTATGGCACATATTGTTTGGAAGCAAATTTTCCCTGAAGTTTTATTTACCCAAAGCCAGATTAACAAGTAGTTGTTTTAGGAATCTACTGAACATTGTTTTTATTACATTTTAAAAGATTATGTAATTAATGTGTTCTTTCCCCTCAAAACACAAGACCCTATGACCCCTTTGCTGACATAATTGTAGCATTTAGGCACCTCTAGTTTTTCCAAGTTTGCAATATGTATGTTTTTAAATATGCCAGCCATTCATTTTATACCCAGTTATATTATTTTAGAAAGCAAAGGAGAGTTTCTGGGAAGCAATTCCAGTGAGATCGCTTGGGTCTTTTCAGAGTAGAATTCACAAACTGCTAATTACCCCTTTGCACCATAGTTGTAACAGTGAAGAGGAAAGTACATCCAGAAAGAGTACACCCAGAATTTCTCCCACATGGGCAATAAATTAGAGCTATTTCTTTTTCAGATTTATAACCATACTTAAGAGTCCACATTTTCAAACAATTTTTATTTTATTTTATTTCCCCAAATTGCATCTTCTGTTCTGATACACATATACATCTGTGTCCTGGGGCAAAAGTGTATTTTTATAAACATCTCTTTTGGGTACCAAATATCCAAGAGTCCCTCAGCACTGTTCCTGTGCCCTGATGGTCTCTGAAGACCCTCTAGACTCTTCTGCAATAGGACTATAGCTAAATTCTTTACTTGAAAAATGTTCAAAAAGGTATTTATTCACAATAAGTGAATTGCATTATGGTAAACTCATGCAAAAATATACTGAATATTACGTCATGCATGTGTTATAAGTATATTTTCTGTTACAGATGTAATTTTCAGTTTTGAATAGTCTCTCTGATGGTTTGGTAGCACTACAAGAGACTAAATCATTCCCTCAGACCTGTAATTCTGAACTATCTTACCCTGGTCACTAGGCCAAATGTCATTTACTCTACTGGTCATCTTTTTTTCCCCCCTATGGTCATGCTCACCATTCTTTAAGCTAAATTGGCTTAAGGCTAGTAGCCACATTGGGCATAAAGTGGCCATCTCATCTTTCAGATCACAAATTGTTACCAGCCTCCAAGTGGAGGTTTTTCCAAGTTCTTGGTGTTCATCAGGGAAAAGAATTTCAGTATATACCACTTACGTGATACATATTTTGACAAGCAAGGGAAAGCTTTATTGAAAGTCAAAGCACCAGGGAGGAGAGTAGTGGGCAGGCTCAAGAGCAGCTGCACTGGGAGAAAGTGGTTTTATATCTTTTGTAGTCTTAACTAATTGAGGAGAGAAATATATCCAGGCTAATGGGTTAGGTTTTAGTAAGAATTTGGATAGTAATTCCTAGAATTGGGTTCCCTCCCATCTTCATACTTTATATCGTTGTTTCAGAACTATCATTGTGATTTCAAGGGTAGAGAAATTTTAAAACCACAATGTAAATGATAATTGTAATTAGCCAGAGTTTATATAAGGTGGTAGAAAGAGCTGACAACCTGATTGAAGCCGGTTCTTTCATAAGGTTATCCGCCCCCTCTAGTTAGCTTCTGTTTTAAGAGTTGTTTATTTTAACCCCTGCAACTGATCTAGAAGCCTCTGCACCAGTCTCAGCCCTGTCTCTTAGTCTCTTACTCTAACAAAATCACGTGTTTTTTTGCACATAGGAGGGCCTATTTAGTGAACTCCATGGATTTATTGGGGAAAAAGTCTAGTTTCCTGGCAGAAATTGTCTAAGAAAACTCCCTATCCCTAAATCCCTTCCATCTACCCTATGCATGACTACCTCACTCGTGTGGAAACAGCATGATCTCAATGTTTGAAAAAACTTTATATAACATTTTTTTAAATTTTACTTAAAATTATTTTTCTTTAAACTGTGAGGTAAGGAACAATATAGATGGGTTTCAAAAGTCGCCTCTTGGTTCAAATTGCTGCCACCTCTCTAGAAATTCTTTTAGTACTATAATATTTTTAATTTCCTTCTGTTCATTATGTTTCTATTACACATTTCTTTTGGATCTTTAAATAATGGGCTTGAACATTTGTTCAGTGTGGGAGGATTGGGGGATTAGGGAGGTGATTTCAGTTGATAACAATTTTTCTAGCAGTAGCAAGATTATGGAATTTCAAACATAACTTCAATCTAATCATGAGAAAACATCAGACAAACTTAAATTGAGAGGCATTCTACAAAAATAACTGACTGGTACTCATCAGGGAGTGGCATTGGCATTACGTATTTCTCATCTAAGCTTTAAGACAAATGCTTACTCTTAAGCACCCATTGGTAGATTCTAATGTCCTATATATGGTGAAATTAAGAAAATAGACAAATTTATGAAAGAATACTCAAAATTATTTGTGTTAATTACAAATTGTACTAACCATGCCAAAGAGGCTATGGAACTTCTTTATGTTCTAGGTAACAGCAGTGGATTATTTGCCAACATACATGTACATCACTCTCTTCTGCAGGGCTTACTGGATTTTAATCCCAGCTTACTCATTCTAGCTATGTAAATTAAGTAACTTTGAGCAAGTTATTTT